GGAAAGACCTTGAGCAACATTTAAATATTAAGTAAGATTATGGAATACTTAAATAGCATCTCAAATATTTTTGAAAAAAATAAAAAATTTAGTCTCTAACATTAAAATCTAACCCCACAAACTCGCCATTTCTAAGGCCCACTCTCTTACAGACTCATCATAGCTTCAGTCACTTTTAGGTTTTTTGTGGTACTGGGGTTTGAAATGGGGCCTTGCACTTGCTAGGTATGTGCTCTATCACTTAAGCCACATACCCGGCCCTTTTCGCTTTAAGTTATTTTTTGGATGGGACCTCACATTTTTTGCCCAGACTGGCCTCGGACTACAATCCTCCTCCCTATGCCTCCCATATAGCTGGGATTACAGATGTGCCTGGCTTGTTCGTTGAGATGGGGATCTCTATAATTTTTCGCCAGGTCTAGCCTCAGACTGATTCTTCTGATCTTCACCTCCTGAGTAGGTGGGATTACAGGCATGAGCCATTGTGCCCAGTCTTTAGCTTGGGTTACTTTTTAAGTGTTCAGTTTTTCCTAAGAAAACACTGAGTCCCTAGTCCTTGCTCTATTATTTTCTACTATGTCCAAATACCAAGATATAAAGTCTGTGTAGGGACAGTGGTTTGGAATAAAACCCTGAGTAACACTTTGCTTTCAGAACGTATTACTAGCAGCATACAAGTTCAGAATGTTGAGAGCTCTCCAGCGTATTTTCCACTTGAGCATGTGTAACGAACCTCTCTATTCCTATGCTTTGAGTTAATTGTGCTTCATATTCCAACTTTAAGAGTCCTTTCACATGGGCAAAATATGTCAAATTTAAATAGCATGATTAGTTAGGTTTTTTTGAAGTCACTCTGCTAATTTTCTTTTCAGATTCAGTATCCGTTCTGGTACATATACATACAAGATATGTTTTGAATATGTTACAAATACTAACCAGGGGCTATTCCTTCTCATAGCATTTTGAAGTACCAAATTATCTGAAGATTTTCGCCCCACTCCAGACACGTGATTTTAAATCATTTTATGTCAACAACATATATTATTTTCTTGAATCATTAATTTGCCTAATGGTAAATCATTAATTTACCATTAAAATTGCTTAAGTTAGCAAAATAGCTTCAGGCAGATGTATACTTAAAGTGTTATGCAAACTTTTTATTTGTATTCTTTTGGAAATATGTGTAGGTTCTGATATGTCATGTTTTACTGTTGTACTATAGGTTATGTGTAAATAATATAGAACTTTACTCCCACTTATACAAATAACTGATTCAGAAAAAGTTTATTTTATGTTGCCAAACAGTTTAAAAATAATTTTCTTGGGGTTTTTATTAGCTTACTTTAGAAGACCTCCTAAACAGACCTAATAGTGGCCTGGGATCCCACTATGCCACAAAACATGTTTCTTACATTTAATAACTAACCAGCTACCTCCAATTGCTGAAATTTTATAATTGGTGAAAGTAACAATGTATTTATTATCTCTACTATTACAGTCATGTGTTGCTGATTATTCTGAGAGGGGAAGTATCAAAATTCATTTTTAAATAGCTGCAAGATGTAGTGGTTCAAACACATAAGGTTCCAGGGTACAGAAAGAGATTTTTATAACAAACATTAAACTTTTAATGTTTTCATGTGTTCTTTTGATTTAGAAGGAATAAAACCACAATTTAAAAAACCCGAGGCTATACACATTCTGTACATAGTTCTTTGTAGTAATTACTTTGATTAGAAATCAAACTTATTCTTTTACAAGTACTATAAGAGATTTTACAACAGTTTGTTTGCTTTGGTCAGGACTTTGGAGATATCAAATAAGACAAGCTCTCTCATTAGCACATCAAAAACAATGAAAAAAATCAGTGAACTAAAATGCAATAAAACTCCATTGATATTTTTCTCCTGAAGTATTTCTTTCACATGCAGTGATTCAAAATTCTTTGCAAGAGAATTACTATTTGATCACAATGCCTAATATATAAAATATTTTTCATATTACCCAGGATCTATGGTACATGTTTAGTTAAACAGTATATTGGGGGGGAAAGTGGGAATGAAAAACACAATCTTCCCAGATACATAGAAATATATCAAAGAATAAAATGCGTTAGGATCTTACACTACTAAAATGAAGGCACCTGCCTGAGAAAAGCTGATCACAATATATAGTGGACACATGGTTATCATGGCTCATTTAACAGCATTTTTAAATTCATGGTGAAAGAACTGCATAATTAAGTTCACTGATGATGAAGAAACTAAAGGTTTCATAACAAACCTTCAGGTTGTTTTTTAACTAAAAGAATATTTATATATAGGGATATTCACAATCGGTCCTCACTTAAAGTTACTAAAAGTGGGCTGGAACCTGCCTACCAAGCATGAGGCCCTAAATTCAACCCCCAGTACCACCAAAAAGAATTGAAATAAAGTTACTAAAGATACACTTAAGTTGAATCTATATAACCTGAAATATATGGAAAATATGTTCCTCAGGAAAAGAAAAAAATCATATCATGGCATCAAGATAATAGACAATGGCAAATAATTTCAAAACATTGCTGTATTCCTTTTGTATTTCATTTCTTCATAAGGCAGGCCCTAAGTGGAGGATGTCAAATCTTGCACATTGGTGATCACTAAACTTGGCAGTTTGGATTAAATCCCAATGCCATATACACTGGCTTATGTGTGTAGTCCCAGCTACTTCAGAGGCTGAGGCAGGAGGCTCACCTGAGCCCAAGGAGCTCAAGGCCAGCCTGGACAGCATAATGAAACCCTTAACAAAAAAGAAAGAAAGAAAGCAAAGGAAGGAAGGAAGGAAGAAAAGAAGGAAGGGAAGGAGGAAAGAAGGAAGGAAGGGAGGAAAGAAGAAAGGAAGGAAGGAAGGAAGGGAGGGAGGAAGGGAGGGAGGAGAGAGGGAGGGAAGGGAAGGAAGGAGGAGGGAGGGAAGGAGGGAGGGAGGGAAAAGAAAGAAAGTGAAGAAAAGAAAGAAACAAAACAGATTCTATCATATATTCTACATTGTACTCTTAAAAGGCAAACTGCCACTAGAATACTAAAAGATGATATTCTATGTCTTAAGTGTTATGTGTATATTAACATTTCAGCATTAAATTTCTAAACACCCATTTTTTCATTAAAAATAAACTTTAAATTTACATATTACATACATATTGCCTAAAAAGTAAATCTTTATAAATAGTAGAGTCCATTCAGAGGGTATTAAGTAAGACCTGAGAGAAAAAAAAAATGCCAAGCCTGAGTTCAAGCCCCAGTACTGCCCCACATGTCTGCACACAAGCACACACACACACACACACACACACACACACACACAATGCCCTAATAAACTTAATGTGTGTATATGAAACACCATGTGTGAAATATTGTTCTGGGTCCTTGAAGGTGTATGCCTGCATGTGCACACAGAGAGAATAAAGAAAATTAATCTACATAGAACTACATAACAAAACATTATTAATTTCGCAGTGACAAAATTTTAGAAATGGATATGTTAGTGGCTGTCCAGGTTTAGGAACAACAGGAAATGGGCATGGTTGTAAAGGACAAGACAAGACATCTGTGTAATGATGAAAGTGTGATGTGTCTTGACTGTGGTGGTGATGGGTACAACATGGGACAAAATTATACAGAATGAAACACAGAGACCAACAAATAGAACTGGGGAGACCCAAATGATATTAATGAATTTTTATCAATGTCAACATCCTGGTTGTGATACTGTATTATGGTTTGGCAAGATGTTATCATCAGGGGAAACTAACTAATGTACAGGGATCTCTCTGCATTATTCCTTAAACACATGAATCTACAATTGTCTCAAAGTTTTGGAAAATTTAAATATAAAAATATACTTTCTCTTTCTTAATGCATCTTCTCCACACACCATCAAAAAAACACCCAAGGAATAAACACCAAAATCCCAGTGACAAAAAGTTTTTACCACATTGGTGCAATAGTAATTCCCCTCAAAGAAACCCATAGTAAACACTATGTCCAACTCTTCTTGCTCTGACAGTATGTTCTCAATTTATTTTAATGATATGTTTACTTAAATCAGTTTTAAAGATTTTATACTATATACTGAAAGTTTGTTTCTTATGACATAGTAGTGATAAATAGCTAGCTACCTTACAGCTCAGATGGTGGTGGAATCATCTTTAATCAAAAAAGAAGAAGAATGATGGTGCGTGTTGAGGGGTGAAACTAACCAAGCTACATTGTAAGCATATATAGAAATATCACAATGAAACCCCCTGGACAACTAACACATACTAATAAAAAATGTTTGTGAAAATTCTCATTCTCTCTCAATCTCAATCTCTCTCTCTCTCTCTCTCTCTCTCTTCCCCTTCCCCCGCCCCTTCCCTCCCTTCCTCCACTCTCTGCTCTCACCGCTCTATCTCAGACAGTGGAGTGAAGACCTACTTCGACTCTCTTGGGAAAGATTCAAGTATATCATTCTTTTTACTGATGCAAGGCTACAAATACTGTGCAAATTAGTCTGCAGTCTCTGCTGTGAGGAAGTTGAAGGTGATCAAAGTCAGGGTCCCCTGCAAGGGCACCAGGATAAAATGGGTCTGATTAGGGTAGATTCCCATCCACGGAAAATGACCTCCAGGCAGTCCGTACAGCCTCCATTCAACCTGCCCACTTGCCTGATTGCAATGCAGATGGAAATGAGGACACCAGGCTCCCCAGCACACCAATCGGGACATTTTGCCCTATCAGCCTCACTCGAAAAGACCCGCTAAGGAGATGCTTCTTTGCGGTGCATGGGAACCTGGCGACGGGGTGGTCCTGCGGTGCCAAGGGAGCGCGGGGAGGGGCGGATGCACCCCGGACGGCGCGGGGCGTAGGAGGCCGAGGATGGAGGATAGAGGATGGAGAATGATGGAAGATGATGGAGGGGAGGCGAGGGGAGGTAGGACAGAAGGTGCGGGACACCAGCAAGCGAGGCCCGCGGCTCACCCGCGTTCTGCAGCGTCTCGATGTTTTGGGGTCTGGTCGCCAGTTCCGCCACCATCTGCACGAACTGGGTCCGGGCTTTCTGGTACTGCTCGAACACTGCGGGGAGAGAGCGAGAGGAGAGAGGCGCCGTGGGGCGGCCGTTCGCCCCGCCGCCAGCCCGTCGGGGCGCCCGGCCCGCTCCGCCTACCTTGCAGCACCTGCCTCTGACTCATGGCGCCCGCAACCCGAGCCGCTCGGCGGCCAGTCCACGGAGGCCGCTGGGGTGACTCGGCCTCCGACGGGAGCCGTTCCTCTGTGTACCCGCGTCTCCCAGGCAACCGACCGGAACCGGAACGCGGCCGTCTCGCGGCAACGGCCGGGCAAGGCCGGGCGTGACGTCACGGCCGCGGCGGGGAACGCCGTCTGCAGCGCTCGCCAGGCGGCCGTGCTCCGTCGAGGGGTCCTCCCGCAGCCCGGCGGGAGCCAGGCGTCCTCCCCGAGGGTCGCGGTCCTGGACAAACCGAGCTGGACCCGCGCAGTGCCCTGGCTGCGGCCCAACCCGGCCCGGCCGGGTGTCCCGAGAGTCCCGCGCACCGCGGGGACCCAGAACAGCGAGACCAGTGACCAGCGAGCCTCGACGGCCTAGAGAAATCTCGCGTGTGGCAGTGGACACATGTCACAAATACATGGTCGTCCATGCGATCCTCCGGCCACGGTTTAACTTTTTAATCCCTCTCTCTTTATACTTGGCATTTCTCATTTCAGGATTTCTGGAGGGTCACAAGAACCACGGTCATACACTTAATGACACTGTATTGAAAGCACTAAAGAAGCACTCTTAGAGAGTAGAGAGGAAAATAGTACAAATACCCTGGCTTTCTCCTAATCATTACTAATTTTGCGGTGTCCTCATTTTTATGTGATTTTTACAACATTTTTCTTTTAAATTTAGTTTTCATTTTGTTGCTGAGTGACATTTCCCCGAAAAAAAGGGAGACTACCTGGAAAGCCAGACTACCCTACTTTATATAACTTGAACTTTTTGCCCAGTTTCTTTAGACAAAATTTTAAGTAATGAGAAACCACTGCTTTCTAGCTTGTCTTTGAAAACTATATACTAAATGTTTCAGTGACAGCTGTCAACTTTAAATATTTCTCCATCAGAAACTACAATTTCACCAGGTGTCAAATGGGCAGATAGCCACAGCTGCTGTGCGGTAATGCCAAGACAGGAAACCCTTGCTATCTATTCTTCAAAAGAAGGGACCATGCAAATTTAGCTGGTTCTTATATTTAGAGGCAGTCCTCCACAATAATTTTTTAGATGTTTCACTCTGATTACAGCCTCTGACGAAGACCTGATATTTTTGTGGAGCCCCCACTGAGGAATGGACTGGCAATCATAGAAAGGAAGTGTGTTTAGTTAGGTCCCTGACACCCCCCAGAGCAGGTACAAGGCTTTTTGTTTCTGCAGTTCAGAAACCAATGACACAATTCCTAAGCTATAAATTCCACAATGATCTCTACATTTTCCTAACAGGTTCTTTAAAAAATAAAAGTTGTTGTATGTTCCCATTTAGAGATTTAAGGAGAAACATTGAGTAAGTAATTAAAATAGCAAACAAACTATCCTAATTTTATTTTCAGTTCCTTGTTGCACTACAAAAAAAAAAAACCCTTAAAACTAAGTTTCCAAATTTAGTTTGTCTTTAAACAAACAATTCAAACTCCTAAACTACTACACCTGCCATTTTTAAATAATTGCTTTACTATGTGTTTTCTACTTTAAAAGTGGTAAGAGCTTAATAGTGAAAAAATGATTTAAACCTATAAACCTAACAGTCTACTTATGGGAGGTGATAAAGTTTGAAAACTTAAGCTCAAATGGTATGCAAATGATTAAACTCTAGAATCTGAGTACCTGTCATTAACAGTGTCCATGAATTAAATTGTATTGTTCCTGATACTACACAATATAGAATGCCTACTTCATATCTGAAGTTGAACATATTAAAGAAGTTAGATCTTTGCTCTTTCTTCTAGCTTTTTTTTAAAGTCTTTTAATTTTAATGGAGAAATGTGACAGAATGGTCATAATATACAGGTAAATGAAATTGCTAGTAATTTAAAAATAAAATATGGCAAAATACTAACAAGAAAACCATTCTTTATTTTCTGACCCATTTCCAACTTACTTTAAAACAAAATACCATTGTTTTACAAAGTTAAATGGATGTTCCATTATCACATATACACCTTTAGACTAATAGTTGAGCAGTGAAAAAGAGATACTTCAGTTTTTAAAAAATTAGTACTAAAGTGTCAGCTGACTGAAGATTTACAATGTACTTGACATAACACTACACATTTGAGAATGAAATATCTGAACAACTTGAAAAATTGTTTTAATGAAAAGTTTGGAAGCCTCTGTCTCCCTTAAGAAAAAGCTAATTTTAATATATAACTTCAAAATCATGTTTTTGCTTGGTTCCTTCTTTATGAGTCTGAAAGCTCAACAGTATAAAGTCAATTTTTAAATCCTCTTCTGTTTAACTTTACAAATCTCCTTTGAGAATTCAGAAAATCACATTATCATGAGAATATATGCTACACATACCTAAAAGAAACTTTGCTAATTTTAACATGTATTTTTCAGCTCCTGGATGAATTTTAAAAGTTGAAGTTTTATATATGCCAATTGGATATTAACATCCACATTTTAAACTTGTTGAGGTGCCTGAAGTGTACATGTATTTCTCCACCAAGCCAAAAACAGATGAAGTATCAACAGATGAAGTATTTAGCAAAGTGTGCTAAACACTTTGCTAATGAGAGAATGTGCCTATCTTTCCCGAGATGAAGTCTAGTAAGAGACAGCAATTCATTCTGCATATATATACTGCAGTGTATATTAATTTAGCAAGCACAGACCTTCCACTGTTTTAGGAACTGTAATTGCTCTCAGTGCTTTGGGAACAAAGATGGAAGACCTAGGGTGAAGCAGGGAAAGACCTAGGGTGAAATATCTAAAAAAATCATTCAATTAATAAGTGTTCTTATTTTTAACAAAAGTCAGCTGAATTTTATCTAGATATGAAATCTCCTGAAAAAAAGAATTAAAACATTGTTAGCACTTAAAAAGGCATTTAGTTGTTAATTTCATGCAATGATATTCAAGTTATAAGAACACAATAATCATTCTACCAACACCAAATCTAAAATTACTGAAATATTTCCATATTTACATACATGAATTAAAAATAAAGGCACTACATACTCCAGAGCCAAGTTGGCAGACCCCAAATATTATGTTATGATGAAAGAAAACATGACTGTCTTAAATGTTGCATAGTCCCTCTTTGGGGAAATAACGTCAGGATTTTACATTTAGGTCTGAGCAGACCATCCAACCTTGCCATCAAATTTGTTAGCAGAGCAGAAGGGGTTTGGATACTTCCAGCAGGGAAGATAATGATCATATCTGTGCATGCTTTGTGTTTACGTCTTATTTCTTATTCTTTGCTTTTCAGGTCTCTTAAAGCGAACGCTATACATTTTAAACCTTAAATTCTTTTGTTTCTTTTTGTGATAAGGCCAGCAGAATGTTAAGACGACAATGATTTAGCTAGCCCCGGAGACCTAAGAGATACACCTGTCCATGGCTTCCTTTCCAGTAGTTCCGTGCATGTGGCGATTTAAACCATCCTTTCCACTCCCAAAGAAAACCATGACTGAATGACTTCAATTCCCCCCAAAAGACACCATGTAACACAGCGATAATAGTAAAAATTGACGCTTTTAATGTGGAAGTCACAAGGCGATAACATGCACACAAAATCCTAAATTGTTGCTGCTTAGCGTATATGTTCTTTAAGAAGAATTAGCTTCTTCTTTTTAAGACTTGAGTTTTCTTAATTAAAAATTGTATCAAAGCCAGCATCATGAGAAAGAAAACCCTAACAGCTCTGTTGAGGAGGGTGTCACTCTCTCTCAACACCCCCTCCACCCTTGCGCCCCTTTCACATCTTGGAGTTGTAGGGTTTGTCTTAGAAATCGTAGGTATTAGTGCTGTCATACCTTTTCTTATTCATCTTATTATTACTCTTATACAAATCGCACGAGACAGAAAGGGAAGGTGCCACATAGGAAACGACCCCTAGAGCACACCAAGCCGACGTTGGGGTCTCAGCCCACGCGCCCCTGATGTGTGGGTCCTGATAGGGCTGAACTGTGGCTGGCCCTCCCGCCCTACAGCTGAATGCCGGCGGGTCCCCGAAGACGGTGGGCGCTGGGCCCCCGGCGCGATGGCACCGCCCCTGGCAGGCAGCTGCGCCCAGTGTTGACTGGGGCTTCGGCCCAAGGGAAAGGGCCCCGACTTTTCTGCCTTTTTCCATCCCTCCAAAGTTTCTCCAACTCCACAAGCAGCAAGTTTCTAACCGAGGAGGGGGCGGCGGGGTCGCCGGGGGCTGCCGGCTGCGCGTAGCCGGGCGGGGCCGCAGAAGATCGGCCCGGGAGCTGCGCGGGGAGCGCGGGCGGGGGCGCGCGGCCCGAGGGCAAGAGCGCGGAAGCGCGTAGCAGCGGGACCGGGGCCTGGCTCCCGCAGGGCCTCCGGGGGCGACCCCGGCGGCGGCCTGGGTGCGGGAGGTGAAGGACGGTCCCCCTCCACTCTCTCGGAGCGCTGAATCCCGCCGGCCGGGGATCGGGAGGGAAGGCGCGGCGGGGCAGGGGAAGGATGAAGGAGGCCTCTCCTTTCGCTTTGGTTCCCGGGCCAGGCCTCCCTATAAACGCAAAGCTTCGCGGGGTCTTGGGCAGAGGTCCCGGCCCGAGCCTCCCCCGCTGCGTCGTTGGCCCGCTGGGCGTAGGAAAAGTGCGGCCAACTCGCCAGGGCGAACCCCGAGCGGGCCGAGACCGGAACCCCGGGCACCGAGGCCGCAGCTCTGGCGCAGCAAAAACGTCCTGCGGCTGCTCGAACCGGCCTGCTTGGCCCTGTCTTCTCCGGACATTCAGATTGCTTCTTAGCTGGGAAAAGGGTAGAGAAGGGCTTTGGGCTCCCTTTGCCAGAACTAGGGTAAGAGCCCCCAGCACCCTGTTACAGCAGCCAACTCCCTAAGACCCCGCGGCGCAGGCCGATCCCAGAGGAGGGGAGAGGAGCCAATAGCTTATTTAGAAAGCGACGGGCGGGGGAGGGGGGCGGTGTGTGAACCAGCTGCACCTCACTGCGCATGTGCCAGTCTAAAAAATTTTTTTTCTTAACTTTTGTAATCATTTGACTACA